GTTAATCAGTTTCACAATAATCTTGCTGTGCATTACTGGCTAATATATTTCACTCGATAAACTTGTCAGGCCTGGTGCAGTCTGGTGGTTAGGACACTCAACTCGTGATCTGTGGGTCGCGGGATCCAAACCCGTCGCCGAACATGTTCGCCCCCTTTCATCCGTGAGGTCAATCCTACTATTCACCGATAAAGAGTGACCCAAGAATTGGCGGTGGGTGGCGTTGGCTAGCTGCCTTCCTTCTAGTCTATCATTTCATACTTAGTGAAGCTGGTGCAGACAGTTTCCGAGTAGCATTGCGCGAAATTTACCAATCAAATTAACCCTGCAAAAGTTGTCTATCAGGCCTTTCAGAATGTGATATGCATCCTCTAATCATTATGTTTTTAATTTAATTTTTTAATTACTGCAAAGGCGTTTTCTTTGCAAAAACAAAAACTTGCATCCTATCGAAAGCACTTCACTTTCTGTAAATTTGATTTCTACAATTTATTAATAAGAAATCATAAACATTTTATTTCAAAAAGTTTTTACTTATGAGATAGGCCTACAGAGGACCGAACTTGTCTCAATATAATATAAGCCAGCACTAAACGTAAAGGCTTAAAAGCAATGTATGGTTTTGAACCTAGTTTAAGTTTCTGAAAGAGTGAGGCCAGAAGAGCGCCCTCGTTCTTTGTGTCTGTGTGTGATTAAAATAAGTATATATAATTGTCAAATAAACGTAAATTGTATATATATTTTAGTGTAGTATTAAATTTGTATGTCAGAACACTGCACTTAAAAATATTAAAATCATTGTACGTTTAAAATTATGACTTAAAATAAAAACGTACAAGAATAATACAATTATATAAATTATGGTGTGGAAGTACAAGTTACATATAATATTTCATTTGTACATTTACGACTCAAATATGGCTGTTGGTTTTATAACTTGATTGATAAGTTTCTGGTAATTTTAAACAAAATAAATTCATGAAACGCGGTTCCGACGTGCAAGTATAACTCAAGGGCTGGAAATTTATTAGGAGTTTTTTTATTTGTTTGTAATTAAGCACAAGGCTACATAATGGGCTATCTGTGCTCTGCCCACCACGGGTATCGAAACCTGGTTTTTAGTGTTTTAAGTCCACAGACATTCCACTGTGCCACTAGGGGGCTATTAGGTTTGTTCGTTTGTTTGTAATTAAGCATAAGGCTACATAATGGGCTATCTGTGCTCTACCCACCACAGGTATCGAAACCCGGATTCTAGCGTTGTAAGTCCACGGACATTCCACTGTGCCACTAGGGGGCTATTAGAAGCTGGTTCATAATCCGGCGTGAATATTTTTACAACTACTAAGTAAATTTACTAAATAATGATAAAAAAATCTAGTGTTCTAGTGTATTGAGAGTAGTTTAGCCGGACTGTCTTTATTCGTGCATTATCCAGAGTAGATAAACATACATGGTGTTTGAAAATACGACCAAATAGCTTACTTAAGTTACATTGCTTCAGCTGCAACTAAAACCATGATAATTTCTCTTACAAGAAGGCGTATGACACAGCTCAAGCCTTGCACTGGCAAATAGCCAAAAAAAAAAAATATATATATATTGATAACAACCGATATTTGTCCTCCAGGAGTGGCCTTGATCTATCACATCGCGATTTTACTGTTGTTTTGTTACAGATTGATTTCATTCTTGTTTACAGAGACTTTGGATTTCGTAATCGAATCCAATATTTTGTACAAATAACTAACTGACATTTTGATGTGATAACAGATTAACCAATGGACTCTTGGTTGAACGGTTGGAACATACTTTACTACATATAATAAAGACTGTTACTTCAGATTTACATCACTTAGAGGTATTAAGTACACCGAACTCTACTGGCATACAATTAATGATTTAACTCCTGCTTGTATTTGATTTTTCTCATTTTCTTAGTGTTCCCTTATGGGTGGCCCAAGAGTTGGCGGTGGATGGTGATGACTAGCCGTCTTCCCTCTATTCTTACACTGCTAATTTACGGACGGATTGCGCAAGTAGCCCTCGTGTAGATGTGCTCGAAATTCAAACCAAACAAACAAACAAAAACCCTTCTGGGTAGAGATCGTTGTGTACAGCTGACCATGTTCTTAAGATTTCAAACCTAAAACAAATAAATCTTCATGTTATAGAAATTCATGATGAATAAGAGAATTACGTAAACATACTATATGTTTTGGCGTTTTGATTATTACCATACTCATTAGGATATTGTTACGACAGCGGAAGTCACGTGACTCTGGTAACACGTAATGAGTTCTAGAAAGATCGGGGAACATCACGAATAATCCATTATTTGCTAGGCGCCCTCTATTCTTGTATATAAGTGCGCCAAACACAGCCACCACTTACCATCGACGCCTTTCAACAGACCAACAGCACGCCTCCCAGCCCCAAGCCACTGTCTACATCATCATCGACATCTAACTCACCGAACGCCCTAGTAATCGACACCTCCCCCGATCCCTACCTACCCGACGAACCTTTCTCAGTCTTCCTCTCTCTCACCTACGACACTGAGAACCCCACGCCTTTACCACCTGCCGGGAACCAGAAACTATGCCAATTCAAATCCACAATAAACTCCAAGAGACTACACAACAACTTCAAGAATTAATCAACCCCCAGCACCTGCCTTCACTTTGCCTTCCCTACTTGCAACTTACTTCTTCTCGTTAATAGAGCACTAGTAACGGATCAGACGTTACCAGTGAAAGTGGGTTTTCTCGGGGTACTACCGTTTCCCCCACATTTAATTCTCGGCATAGGATTTTTAAATCCCCGCCGCCCTGATGGACCATCTGTCCGATATCGGCCGTTTAGTTTAGTTTAGTTTACTTTGCTCTTCACTTTTTATTATCTACAATTACTCTCTCTCTTGATCTTTTTAAAATTACATATCTAGTACGCATTAATTTCCCATTTCTCATGTCTAGCCTTTACTTCTAGACCACGAGCGGGGTGAAGGAGGATTGCTCAATCTTCGAGCACCTCAGATTAATAATTATTTCTTCGGAAATAATTATTTTTAAATCTAAATAACTGCCAAGAAAACAAAACAACGAACAATCGGATTGAATTGTAGATAGGCAGAGATAGAGACGGACAACTGAGTCAAGCGCCGCCGTAAATAAAGTGCGTGAATCGTTTGTTGTGAATTATAGCGTGTGTTTACGTCAAAGTAACTGTGGAAATTAAGTGTATTGCAAAGTTGTATTGAGAAAGAATAAACTAGTTTTATTTAAGAAAGGGCTTGTATCGCTGAAGTTTCTCGGAAAGAATTTCTACGAAAAATTAACAAACGAACACAGACGTAACAATATTCTAAAAGACCATAAACGTTTTATAGGCTATAACCATCAAATAGCTAGTTCAAAGAAGAAGAAGAAAAAGAATACACGTACAGGGTATCCAAAAGAATCCTCACATTTCTGTTAAGCTAGTAGTATGATTTTTGTGATATTGTATTCAGTATAGCATATTATTCCTTCCAAAACAACTTAACTAAGTTGCGATGTTTCGATTACAACTAAAACCATATATAAAAGGAGCTTTCTTTCTCTACATTTTTTGTCATTAATAACTGGTGGGGAAAACTTCAAAGTATGTGTTTTAAGCAAAGCCACAATGAGTTATCTGCTGTGTCCATCGCGGGGAATCGAACCT